ACCCAGAGGTAATATAAGTTTTTTGAGATTTTGTCTCTACTTTTTTTATTATTTATTTTTGATAATAAGATCTTCTTATAGGGTGAAGATGTAAATATTTCGGATTTTTGCCTTCCAGGAAGTCGATATATTCTCAATATCAAATAAATTATCGTTGAGAAGTAGTAGCCTCGTGAGACTCTGAAGCCAGTAATGTATTATTTTCTAAATTTACAGGCTTCGAAATATTTAATGGTTAAGGTGATTCACAATACTACATTAATAATATGTTCATTCATATTTAAAATTTATTAACTTAAAGTTATAATTTTTAAGTATGAAATGAACATTTTATTATTAATTTAGTATTGTTAATAATGATATTATTTTAAATGATAAGAACATTATCACAATGAGAATCTATAAGTTAATAATTCTTAAGTATGAAATTAATATTTTAAATATTATTTTAAATAGTGAGAAATCCCGGGATAAGAATAAATAAATTTCATTAAGCCTACACTAAAATAATCTTATCTTAATCATTGCATATAAAATATTAAATTAAAATCTAGTAATTAGCTGATCTTATTTACCTTTTTGGTAAGTCATAAAATTTTTTAGAGGATTTTAATATGTAATTAGTTATAATTTCTTCCTCCACAATTATATAAACACTTTATTTTGAATAACTCATTGTAGATATTGAATTATTTTCAATTTTTTTTTTGGATAAATATTTAGCTATATTTGATTTTGGAATGCCTAAAAAAATGTATATAATATATTAACCTTATCTGTAAGTAATGTTAACTTTCTTACTGAGGTTGTTGGATATAAATTTAAAGCATTTTCAAAATCTTCTATTCAGAAAATATTTCTATCCTTTTTATTGTAATTCCGCATCACTAATAAATCATAAAGTGAGCTAAAAAGGTATGTCCCAAAAACACTATGACCGAGCCCACTAACTTTATAAATATCATCCAAAATAATATTAATTCATGTTTATTGATTCTGAAAATTTGTCAGATTGAGTTTAAACTTTCCTAAAATATATTTTAAGATTTTTAAAGTTCTATTTATAAATACAAATGATAGTTTGCAAATATTTTTATTACTTTAGATATGCTTCTTCTGTAAAAATTAAAATACTAAATGTTTTTTAGCCAATCATGTATGAAGTAATTATCTATGTTGGGCTCAAATTTCCAGTCTTATAAAATAATAGCTCAAATTCTGTCTTCAATGTACCCCGGTCTCCTCTACCCCCTCCCTCGTTTACTTTCTACTCTGTAAGTAAAATTTAAAAAATAATTAAATTATATCATGAAGTTATTTATTGCAATCTAAGCAATACTGAGTGAGATTAATAAAATAAATTGTTAACCAATTTTTTATAATTAAATCATGCAACTTGATAATATTATACCATTTTTTATAACAAAAGCCTATCTCATAGTTTAACAACCAATCAGATAGATAGGTTAAAAAAATAAAGAATTCGAAAATTTCATGTGAATTATAAACTGTTAGCCCGATTTTTAATTTGCCATATATAGTCAGTTCAAAGTATTAATTTATCTAATATAATAAAAGCCATAGTTTATTGTGTCATACATATATTGTTAAAAAGCGCAACAACATCTAGATTGGGAATCTAACCCTCGACTAAATACTGCAACTCCACATTTTTCACAGCTGCTCACTTCACGTGTTCTTTCAAAATTCTCATTTTTTTATCTAATTATTTTCTGTTTTACATGACAATTTTTATGAATATTTCTGTTGGTAGTTTTATTATTAGCCTACATTTTCAAATATTTCCTACAATTAAAATCTTTGAATCACATCAAACAAACACATAAACATAATACTAATAACTAGCAAAAATATCTAAAGGAGGTATATAAATTTTCAAATTATTTTTCTTTTATTATTATAATTTCAGGATCGTGAAGATGTTGGAAATAGACAAGAACGATGTCGTAGAAAACGCAAATTAAACAACAAGCTAAAACTACAGAAGAATTGCGAAAAGCTTCAAGCAAAGAAAAGGAATCTCTATACTTTTGATATACATATTTTTTAAATTTTATAAAAAAAATGATAATCATTTATATTTATTTCATTTTTTAATTTATACGATTTATATGATTTAGGAACAAACTTTTTATGTATAAATTTTTTAATCATTTTTAGATTTAGGAATTTATGCTAAGTAATATTTACTTTTTCTGTATACACAAACTTTATAATTATTTTATAAATTCTATATGATTAGGAGTAAGCTAAGTATTATCTTAAAACTTTATATTTGGTTTCTCTACAATTTTAGGTAAATTGGAACAATGTATTTATTATATATATATATCAGAGACCTGCAGGCTCGACACGGGTACCAGAGCCGGGCCGTATTCTAAATTTTTAAAATATACCCGGGCCGGGCTGGGCCTGAAATTTTTTTTAAAAAAAAACCCGAGCCGGGCCTGAAAATTTTATAAAAATACCCGGGCCGGGCCGTATTTTTTAAAAAAATTTATACAACATGAATTATTATATTCGTCAATTAGATATGGTTATAATAATTATATATAGTTATGATTAATATAATGTTTGGTGAAAGTTAGCACTAGCTAACAATTACATAATAAAATTATAGTTTTCCTGCCATGGAATAAATACGCAAAGATTAAATACATTATTATATAATATACAATGTATGTTATATTTTTTATTAATTAAAATATCATTTTTATTTTTTTTATAAATACATAGTATATTCTCAAAATATTATTTACACAAATTTTTTATAGTATCAATTTGTAATATATTAAATATCTGTTTAGAATAAAAAAAAAATATGTGTAGTGTTGTTAAACGGCTCGTTTTGAGCCGATTTTTAAAAACGGCTAACTCAGTTTTTTATCCAGAAAAATATTATGCAAGCCTGAAAATTTTGCTCATAGAAGGAGCAAAGGTCTAGACATATAGTATCGAAATTTCGAGGCTTAGTCAATATCTTTTTGGCAAAAAATATTGAGTTAGCCGTTTTTAAAAATCGGTTCAAAACGAGCCGTTTAACAACATTAGCGAATATACTTGCTTATTAAATGATAATACTCGCCGAAAGATATGATAAAATACGAAATAGATGAATTTTTTATATATACCAGGTCGAATATAATTTTAACGGGCCCCCAAAAATTTTTTTTTAAATATCCGGGCCGTAAAAAATTTTGAAAAAAAAAAGAAAATTTTTTTTATCTGGGTCGGGCTGGGCCGTACAAATGGTACCTCTGCAGGTCTCTGATATATATATATTAATTAATCTGATGTATTATGGTAGATGTGTGAGAGACCTGATACTAAGAATAAATTTGAAATTCTAATTATGTTTTCTGATGTTTTTTCCATCGGTTTTAAAATATTCGGCCCGGGTATTTTAAAAAAAATGGTTGACATAATATTTTAGTCAAAAAAATATTGCCTAAGCGTCGAGATTTCGCTAATAGATTTAAAACTTTGTGTCATATGAGCCAAATCTTTAGGGTTGCATAATATTTTTCTGGATAAAATATATAGCCGTTTTTAAAAATCGGCTCAATTGAGCAGTTTAACAACTGTGCAAATATTTATGGAGGTCAGAATGAATAGTATTTTATGCATATTACAAACAGAAAAATACTGTTAATATACGAATACCGGAAAAAAAACCCTGGAAAAAAACCCCAGGAAAAAAAACCCCCAGGAAAAATAACCCCGAAATTTTTTTTCGAATTTACTTAAGATCTAATAATATCGGTATATTTTTATTTGTATTTAATAAGGTATACACAAATTAGTATTTTAGAAAAAAATATTATAAAAATATAATTTAATAATAAATTTTTTTAGGCCACAATTCATTACTTAAAGATTACTCATATACCCTCCATAAAAAATGCTTAAACAAGAAAAAATGCTGATGTTCAAATTGGTACTGGGAAAAAAAATATCCCAATAAAATAACCCATGTATTACTTATTTTTGCAAAAATTATTTGCTATAGCAATAAAAATATCCATCCTTAATTACTATATTAAGTAGACTAAATTTGACAAAATTTGCAATAAGATCTGTTTATTTTATTGATAAATCATTATCATGTATATAAATTTAATAATTTAGAATAATAATTATATGGGTTGACAGAAGAATATTAAAGGAAATCTCCCTCATAAAATCTGGATGGCTTCGCACCCCATCGTGTATTCCTCGCAAAGTTTCTTTAGCCGAATCTGGGTATTGTAGCGATTTTGTCTTCGGTGTCCAACTACCTACACCCCATAATTCAAGTTAGGTTTCATCGGCAGCCACCTCGCATTTCATTTTTTTAATCAATACCCAGATTGATGGGTGTTTATTCCCAACTAGATTAGAAAACGATGATTCCAACCTTCGCATTGATTAAACGTGCGTTTTTCGTCGGATAGAGTGCTCTCATTCACGTCCCAAGTTTCTGGAGGAAATCTAGGCCCAATTCGACGTGTCTGGGATTGTGAGCTTCATGTGACCTCCCTCATTAATGTAATTTTTATCGAAATATTCAAGAATATCCTTACCATTGCTCGGAGTAACCGATCTAAGGAATGCCATTGCATTGCCCATAAATCATAAAGGAACAAATTCTAAGCCATCCATCATGCCACAAAAGAAGCTTAGGGCTTCATCGGTTCTGTATTGGCTTTCCAGACCTAGCTTTTAAATTTTTCTATAGGTACTTTGACACAAATGGTAAAAGCATCCTCTGATTATGATGTGATCCCTTAATTGAAAAAATAATATAAATAATTTAACATATTAATAATCATACCAATGACAGTTTTAACCGCGCTCATATCAGACTTTTCGAAATCCATGTATATTATAATGGATCAGGAAATAAATCCCGTTCTTGACATTTAGATATTATTACTTCGAATATTTTTTCGTAAGTATTTTGTGTTTTTTTTGAAGTTTAATAGCTGTTAATGATTGTGGCATTCGCTTATAAAATTATTTATCAATATTAATTATTGCTAGGTTATACTAAAAAAATTAAGTGAGAATTAAGAAGAAAAAAATTGAGAAAAGATCAGAAAAATAAAGATTAACAATGACTTAAAGCAAAAATGGGAAGAAAAATATAAATTGAGAAAAAATTTTTAGAAAAATTGACAAGAAAAAAAAAATAACGATTTTCCTTGTTTTTGAATTTTTTTCCATGGAGTTTTTTTCCGGGGGTTTTTTTCCATGGGGTTTATTTTCCGGGGGTTTTTTCCATGGGGTTTTTTCCGGGGCTTTTTTTCCTATTACCTTAATGAACATGATGATTATTAATATATATTATTAAATAATATATTTCGCTATTGTTTATAAAATAGACATTTGAATAAAACATAATAATATCTATATATTGTATTGCTCCATTGTGTTAAGAAGGCAAATTTATGGCAGTGCTGGATGATATGTTTAATGTTTGGCTAGATGGATTAGGCGTTGTTTCAACATCTATATAAGATAATAAAATTTAAAAATTAAATATCAATATAAAAATATGAAACATCATTTTTTAGAAAAAAATAATTATCGATTTATCTAATTCATAATACATAAGTATATTCCACTAATAAACTATAATATAATAATAATAAAAATCTCATCCTATAAAAACAAAATTAGGACTGAAGTTCTCCAAAAAAAGAATAATTATATTTTAAAATAGTAATTATTTGTTTTAAAAAATATAATTCCTAATTTTGCCGTCCATATATTTTTTAAAAATTTTAAGTTCTTGACATAAGGGGAGAAATAACGAATGGTAAAAAAAACATAATTTGTTGAATATTTTTCTCTAGGCTATTTCAACCGGATTAGAATTTACATTTTTTGGAAAAAAAGTATTTCATTAAAAAATAATCATTTGTACATGAATATAAGTGTTTTATATTTTCAACAGAATCAGAACCATTGATTTCAAGTCCCTACGATTGCGATAGAAAAAAAGGATAAGGAAATGAATGAATCGATAAACTATATTTTAATTTATTTTATTTTGTTAAATTCGAATTTTTCTATTAACCAGTTACTTTTATTTTTTTTTGTAATTAATTACAATTATTTTCTCTTTTATGTACAAAAGTAATTGTATTTTAATTATATAAGTAATCAATTACTGTCTAATCCTGTTAGACATCTTCAAATTAAAATTAAAAACGAAATTTTATCCCCCAATCTCTTTGCCTGAGATTGTTTATAAAGGTAACATATTTACCCTTTATTATTATTTAAAAATCGGTTGGGTTATTGAGTTTAATATTAATATCTAAATCAATAATTGATAAGTAAGTGGCTAAAACTAAAATTTGTTTTTCCGGCTTTTAAAATTTTGCATTTATAAAAATGACGAATGACCTGAAAAAAAATTTTTTTAATAATGAAAAGTTAGGACGTAAAAATTTATATTAAGAGTAGAATTCAAAAACAATTAGTACAGTTTTAGAAAAATCCGAATCTGAAAATAATTCACTGTATCAAGATAAAATTCATAATGTTTTAAAGGATAGCTTTGCAATATTATCTAAAAATCAATACCAAGTTTTTACCATTTTGCCTGAAAGATAACAGAAAAGTCGAAAATATTAGCAAAAGAAACAGGAATTCTATCATTACCAAAACACAAAGGAAAACACTGATTAAAGAAGCATTTTATCTCTTTAATAATTTTTTTGTTCCTTTTACCGAACTAAGCAGACTCATGGTCATTTAAAAAAATTAAGTATGTATTAAAAGGGTAAAGGAACCTGTACTAAAAATTTTTGAAAGAAATATATAATATAGTTAAAGGTAATGTTGTTAAACAGTTCGTTTTGAGCCAATTTTTAAAAACGGCTAAATCAATCATTTATCCAGCAAAATGTTACGCAAGCCTGAAGATTTTGTTCATAGAAGGAATAAAGGTCTAGACATGTATTATCGAAATCTCGTTGCTTAGGCAATATTTTTCTGGCTAAAATAGTTAGCCATTTTTAAAAATCGCTACAAAACGAGCCATTTAACAACACTAGTTTAAGGAGCATCATTCCGATAAAAGCATCTCCAAAACTGAAAAAAGGTTATCTATAAGAACTTACTAATATTGATTTTTATTAAAGATATGCAAATTGAAACATTTTTAAGAAAATCAAATAATAAATTTTTCTATTCAATTAAAACTTAAAAATAGCATTTTCTATAAATATAATTATCTCAGGTAATATAAGAAATTAGGCCAAAAAATTTCGTTTTTATTTCAATTGAGAGATATATAATGGTCCAGCAAATTTTTATCTAAATTGAAATAGGTGGTGTGATGGGGATTCAATGGCTAAACCTTTAAGATTCATCTTTAAACGAAGAATATCTTATCACCGTTAACATTTAAGGAAGAATAATAAATAAATGGAAACCTATGATATTTTTGAATGGCATTTCGGTCATTCGATACAGGAAAGAATCTAGTCGTTTCAACGATAAAGCGTTATGCAAAGTTTCCAAAGGTCTGATGTGAGGTACAGCTGGCGGACCCTCATAGCACACTAATAATTCAGGCATAATAAATTATAATTATTATTGTTAAAATATAAATTCCGTTAGGACTATGCTAGTTTAAAAAGCTAATCGATATTAAAAACATCTACGCACCTTTTACAATTTTAAAGTTAAATGAGCAATGAGGACAAATTTGATTCGATAAATTTTAAATAAATTGTAGAAAATTGTATACCGTTAGTATTATTCGCTTCAGTTTTATTTTCTAGAGTGTTACAATTAGTAAAACATTTACCAGATATTAGGGCCGTGCTAATTAAACAACTACCAGAATCTGTGATTAATTAATGAGCAATGTTCAAATATTATTTTAAGGAACATATATATTATAAATATAATCAAATTAGATATTAGTTATAAATCATTAATTAATTTACACACAAAATAAAACATAATTAATATATTCATTCCATAAAATTTACAACACATAACAATGTGAAAATAATTGCATGCGTACAGCAAATTATACTATATAATAAATGTTGTTGTCAATAATAGGTTATAAAAATCGATTGTTGAAACACCCAAATCAAGGTTAATAATTAAAATAGGGAAACTGATAGAAATTATATTTAACAAAGATAATATAATGAAAAATAGAATTAAGAAATTGAAAAAATTATTTATATTAAAAAAATATAACATCATTCGTACAAAAATAATTAAATCTAGAGTACCGATTGGCTCATACGAGATTTTTATTTCATAAAATATCTCAAAAGCCAAGAAATAATTTAAGGTGTAATATGAGAATTAGATTTCAACAAGTTATTATAATTTTTTTCAAATGGATATATTGAATAAATATTCAAAATAAGCATTCATATATAGCAAGCGTTTTATAAAAAAATTTTTAAAGAATACAAATGCATAATTATTATCTTTTATATTTCACAAAAGCCTAGCAGTTTTTTTTAATTTCAAAATTTGAACTTAAATAATTATTTAATTATAATTAAGGCATACCAGAAAATAACGATAAGTTGTTCTACTAAATTTTCGGCCTAGTGCTGAACATTACCTTGGTTGGCATATAATCGTATTAATTTTTCCCGTTAAAGTTAAAATCAGGTATAAGGAATAAGGGTGCGCTTTCCTGTTTCATCCCCATTTTGGGACCGTTCTTCAAAAAAATCAGACTTTATATTTATTACTGGACATTTTTTAAAAAAATTCAATACAAATCAGAGATGCACCAATATTTGGTAATGGTAACTTATTTTCAATTTTAACCGATACGTTTGGTTTATACAGAAAATCATAATTAACTTTCATAAATTAAATTATTTTTTAACCAACATAAGTTATGAATTAATAAAAAAAAATTATATATAAATTTTTAAACCGATAAGAAAGGTGTGCAATACTGTTAATGCTACTTTAAAAAAAGAGCGCGCTAGAGTTACAAGTACTTACATCGGTGATAATAATACCGTGATAGTATCGGTATTGGTTAAAAAAAGTGGTATCGGTGTATCATAAATTGATTATTATATCGAAATATTAATAATTCGTCAAGATAATCATTATTTACACTTGTGAGTTGTGATGATAGTATTCATTTGAGTATCTAAAATGTCTAAGTTTTACTAACAAGAAAACCTACAATAAAACGACTCAAAAATTTCATTATTTGTATATGTTAAGAATAATTGAGCTATTCGTAAAATTCAGTATTTGTATTCGTATGAATAATAAAATCATCATTCGATTTATCTAATAAATCCAATATTTTTACACACATTTTAATATTTTTTAAGATATAACTATTTAAAATTGTGCAATTAAGGGAGTTTTCTTAAAGGCCTAAAATAAATTTCTTCAACTATGAATGGAATTTGATTTTTACTCACGAATACGAACGAAAAAATAAAATATTAACGAATATTTACAATTATTTCTAATAATATGAATATTTTCAAATAATTCGATTGAAAAAAAAGCTTATTATTCAACGAAATTTTTTTTTAATTATTCATATGCTTCAAAGAATGGCATAATAGTAAAAATAATAGTGATAACGATATTTACAAGATGGCGAAAAGAAATGCTAAGAAATTAATAGCGAAGGCGCAAGAAGAAAAAAGGCAGGAGTTTGCTAAAGAAATGGGAAATGTGGTTGAATGGCAAAAAGGAGGCAAGATGTGGCAGGTGTTAAATGTTTGAAAATAGGAAAAATAGTGATTGATAGCAATGGTATTAAGAACACCTGGAAGATCTACATGGAAAGACTTTTGAACGAAGAAAATGAATGATAGAAGGTCCAGGGTGTAAATTTGGGGATGAAATAAAGAGAGCAATGAAAAAGATGAAAAAATGGAAGGCATCAGGTTTAACGATGGTGGTATCAGAGATGTTTAAAGGTTCTGATGACTTAGGGATTGAATGATTAATGAATTTAGTAAATCAAATTGTCACAGAAGGAACTATTCCCAAGAAGTATAATTATCCCAGTATACAAGGGAAAAGGTCATCCTTTAGATTGCGGGTCTTACAGAGCTATTAAACTCTTGGAACATGCAATGAAGGTATTTGAGAGGGTGTTATAGAAGTGGATAAGGTAACAAACTAAAATTGATGAAATGCAGTTTGGTTTTACAACGGGGAAAGGCACAACAGATGCAATTTTTGTGGTTAGGCAAATACAGGAGAAGAAACTGTATTATGCGTTTGTTGACTTGGAGAAAGCATTTGACAGGGTGCCGCGTGAGGTTACTAGATGGGCCTTGAGAAAATCAGGTGTGTAGGAATGGTTAGTTATCGCAGTGATGGCAATGTATGTGGGAGCACAAACAGCAGTACGGACGGATTGTGATAGTGAAAGCTTTGAAGTGAAGGTAGGACTTCATCAAGGATCCGTGTTGAGTCCATTATTATTTATCTTAGTAATGGCAGTGGTGGCTAGAGAAATACGTGAAGGACTTCCTTGGGAGTTATTATATGCAGATGACCTTGTATTAATGGTAAATAGCGAGGAAGAATTGAGGGATACAATTAGTAAATGGAGGATGGCTATGGAAGCAAAGGGCCTGAAAATGAATATAGCAAAGACAAATGGAGTAGTAATGCGACGAAATAGACTAAGATGGTTTGGGCATGTGTATGACAAAAGATCTGGATAAAGTGATGGAAGTAGGAGGATCAAGACCTAGAGGAAGGCCCAAGATGACGTAGACAAATGTGATAGCGGCGGAGATAAGCATGAATCTTACATCTTACAAATATTGATGCTCAGGACCAGAAATGGAAAAGAAAAATCAGAGGGAAAACTGGCCTACCTGGGTAAACCTGGAAATCGCCATAAAACAGAGAAGATTCATATTCGAATCGAATCGAATCAAATAATTGTGCTATTCGTAATACAAATCGAACCAAAAAATAATTTTAAACCTGCCTAATTATCAATTGAAATATAAATTTGATCAAAATTTTTTTAAAATAATCTTAAACACATGTATAATCAGAGATGCACCGATATTGAGCATCGGCTGCCTTGATACCATGAGTAAATTATTCACCTGCGCCTACTCTAATGATTAAGTGAAACAAACAGAAAATTTAAAAATAGAAACAAGACTATGAGTGATTAAATCATTATATTCACAATTTTGCAAAAAAAGTTTCATATTTATTTTTCGAGGTCGTTCATTTTCCTTAAAATTGATTCAAAAGTCCATGGAAGGTAGGCATATTCAAAATCAAATCTAATAGTGCATTAATTGTATTCGCTCCGTTTAAACTAAGGGTGATATCATGTGAAGACCACGTACTAGATATTTTTTTTGGAAGAAAATTGATAGACCGACCCTTTTCAATTTTGATAAAATTAGTAGGCCTGCTTGATATATGTTCTAGTTATATCAAAAATGAATTTTAGCTCATTAACAATCATATTACCTGATAAAATGTGGATAGGTACAAAAATAGGCAACTTTGATATATATCAATTTCGTGTTTACGGTTTCAACCAAGGAAATGTTTAGCATTAGCCAAATTTTTGATAGTTACTATTAGAGGGATTTATAACTCTCTAAAAAGTAAATTAAATAGCATATTATAAGTTTTTTTTATGTTTCGATTCGACTTGATTTATGATATGGTGTTCCGATTAAACCAGTAGAATGTCTAGAGATAGGTTTACTAGTATAGGTAGATTCTGTTTAGAAATTTGTTTTTTTATCAAATAATATATTATTAATTGGTTAAAACTAAAATAATAAAATAACTAATTTAGATTTTAAAAAATGATTATTTACATAAAATATATTTGGAATAATTTATTAATTAGCTAAAAAGACCGTAACAGAAAAACAAAAAAATTAATTAATGCAGGAAAGAAAGCAGTTTGGGAATCGGAAGGTAGCAAATTTTCCAGAAAAAGAGTTATTAGTAATAAGTCCACCAAATGATAAAAATATTTTGTGAAGGATAATAATAATTTTAACAGGCTTGTTGCCATTATTACTAATATTTAGGAACTATTAATTTGCTAAAGGAAAAGAGGGAAATAAATATTCATAATCAAATTAAAGAAATCAAATTGTATATCAATTTTTGCAACTAAAAAAAATAATAGTTTTGAAGTTCCAAATCAGTTGTAAAGTTGCAATTAAAAGATTGTGGAAATTAGGGTTTGGCAAAATCGTAATTTTTTTATAAAAAATCAATTTATTTAATTAAATCATGATAAATATGCATTCATTTTATTCCAAACGTGTTTCCTTATTTAATTTGAATAAAATCAATAGTAATAAAAATATTTTATCACGTGTTATAAATATTTAATTTTTCCAATTAATAATTTAATACATTCTGTGAGTATAATTATTAATTAAATTTAATGTTAACTATATTTGCTTATTTAATTAATATTTTTATATAGATGAATTAAAATGTATTTGAATTAATCTTAGTATCAACAAAATATTGAATCAAAATTAATTAAACAAGAAAAAATAATTATAGTGATTTTTTATATCTAATTTATGAATTAACACACCACAATATTATTACATAAATATTTGTTGAGGTATTGATAACCTAACATATTTTAAATATAAAGACATTAAATATTTCATTTTGAACATATTGGATTGATATTTAATCTATGGTTTCGATATTTTACCCAGAAAAATATTGCCTACACCTCGAGATTTCATTAATAGATGTAAAAACATTTGGGTCATCTATGCGCACAACCTTCAGGCTTTCATAATATTTTTCCAGTTAAAATATTGAGCTGTTTTTAAAAATCGGCTCAAATCGAGCTGTTTAATAACATTACCGTTAATAGATGTATTACATGTATGGATAGGTAAATTAACAATTAATGTTGACTTTTGAATTTAATGCAAATTGATTATTTTGAAAAATTATATATATAGTTAAATAATTTACAAATAACGTGACAAATTTGTTCAATTTTAATTTTATTTAGCAATTAATTAAAATTTATATGCCAAATATAGTATAATAAGGTAAAATAGAAGCAAAAACGAAAATTGATTTCATAATTTTCATTCAAAAAAATCATTTATTTAATCTTGCCAGCACCAATGGAATTAATTTTAATAAAGAACCTAAAATATATTCAAAAAATTAATAACATAATGCTATTTTTGTAGTGATTGAAAATTTTATGTAAATATTTTTGTTCCCGTAAGATTAAAATTAATAATGTCAATTGCAAATCTTGACTACTTTTAAATTATTGGAACTGATTTTGGAATAATAAGACAGAAAAAGGTAGATTTACAACTGTGCATAAGAAACTTTTTTTTATAGAAAATTATAAAAAAATTGTGTTCTTATTTAAAAATTTTATTAACTTAATTAAACAATTCTTTCTTTTTCCAGCCCCCCCCCCCCATTTTTTTATTCTGTTGATTTGCAGACTTTCATTCTTATAAAGTATATTTTTTTAATGATTGTTATTTCTTCTTAATAGATTAGAAATGCATAACAAGTATATATATATTACTTGATGCAAATGGTGACAACTTATTTTCAATAAGACTGTATCTATGATCGCATCCGGCATCGATGGGCAAAAATTTCATATTTGGTACTTGCTTCCTGACCTTATCATTACTTCTATCAACCTCAGGTTCAATATTTTCGGAAGCGGAAGAATTCAATTCTTTACAAATACTATTTTTGGCTGAATTAACAATTTTGTCAACGATCTCTAAAATAGGAACGGTATTGACACTGAGAGAGTGAAAAAAGTCTGGTTCATCTTTATTTATAATTTTATCGGCTTGCGTTGAAGGAGAGACTTGAACTATTTGACCATTGCTAGAAGTGGTTGAACGTTTGCATAAATTATCGGATACATTGCCCGTTTCAACGCTTATTTCAAGAGGTGTGGGCGACCTGTCACTATTGTTCGAATTAATAAAGGTATCATTCACATTTTCAGGGTTTTGATCAATTTGATCTTGTTTGTGGATATGAGTGTGGGGATCGATCATAAATTTCTGTTTAAATTGAATTTTTATTTTAATGTAAATAAATCAAATGTAGAATTAAAAATATTTTGCCATTAAATCTGATTGCGATAAGTTAAATTTATTAAAAAAGAAAAAGATGTTTTTTTTTAAAAATATAAAATTAATGAGATTTATTCTTAATCCATGTTTTAAATTCTGCTTTATTACATTCTCCTAAAATATGCCAATTCATAATTCTATAAATATTTACAATTGTCGACTGGAATAAAATTGTCAAAGCTTTCCTTTTTAAAGGTAGTAATTGTTATATATTAAAAAGGTCGCATTTAATATATTATAAAAGGATATTGTAATATGATATTTTATAAAGGTTATGATATTTGTAATACAATATTATTTGAATATTATATGTTTTAATATTATATGATCTTAAAAGGTCAATTGAATTAAATAATTATTGTATTAGACATTTTCTTTAAAAAAAATATATATATTTTAGAAATAATGGGAGACATTAAAAGATATCCTTTTATTAAGAATTACGAAAACATATAGATACACGCTCATCGTTTAAACAAAGTAATAGAAATGAATCTAGCGATGGAATGAACAATCTTAAAATTAAACAATACAGAAATGGTATATAACTCCCAAGAAACGACAAAATACAATAATAATCGACTTTATCAATATGATAATAAAACTTATAAATAGACCAAGACACCAGTTCAAAATGACTGTCATACGCATAATAATAATAACATGAGAAGACCGTGCTATCATTGTAATCAAAAGAATAATAAAAATTAGATTGTTTTAGAATCCTTAGAATATAATGTAGAATTCAAAATATAGGTTATATAGAATTAATATAACGGAGAATTTAGAATATAGGCCACATTGAATTAATATAACTTCGAACTTAGAATATAAGCCATAAATAATTCTTGCAAAAAATCGCAAATGGAAATAAATATACATTAGACATAAAATAAACATATTTACAAATGAGTATTGATGATAAATCTATGGCAAAAATTAATTCGATTAGATCTTCGTCTGAATACGGAATCGATACATTTGAAATATACCCGAATTCTTACTCTTTAAAGTATATTACAATTCTGTTTATTATTTTTGACCTTGAAATTGTTATGCATTATTTTATGGTAACACCTAATCAATACTACCGCTAATTACATTTACTATCAGACAGAGAAGTTTATAGACAATGTAGATGAGAATGCAAGGTAGTACCCATTAAAACAGATCATGGTGAACAGATTTGGGTGGTATTGGCACATGACGAGATGGCTAAAAACTATATAGGAAACAAAGTTAAAAGTTTTGAATAAACGAAAGAGAGGAAGACCAAAACTTCAAGGACCCACAAATTAAAGCATATCCCTAAATATAAATTGAATAAAAGATGAATAATAAAAATGGAAAGAGATATTGAAGGAGCTTAAAGGTGAAAGCTATAAAAGAAGAAAAAAAAATAGCAAAGCACCAATAATATTTAAAATATATATGGACAATTTTTTTACAAATTTTATTATATAAAAGTATATAACGTTTGACAATATGAAAAAGATGAAGTTGTATAGTCATCGTCAGTTGTAGTTAGAGGATAAGTAGTTTTAGTAGTTTGTGTTGTTCTAATGGTACTGTGAGTTAGTGTACTTCTTATTTTAGTTCTATATTAATTTGTATAATTGTAATCTTCAGAGATTAGAGGATTAGTGGTCAGAGTAGTTACTGGCTGATTATAAATAGACAGCCGTTAACTTGGACGATGTCATAATTACATGAAAAATGATACAGAGCATTTAGAAAATATAAAACAAGTCCTTAGAAAATTACAAAACGTGGGAATAAAAGTAAAAACAAGCAAAATGGAAAAAGTAACTTATCTACGATACATAATAGATGAACAAAAATATAATTTTCTATACCAAACCTCGAGTTGATATTAGACACATCACATCTAAGGATTTGGAGCTATACTCCTATAAAAATATAATAACGGAGAAGAATATTCAATAATGTATGCCTCAAGAACATTCACAGTTGTCGAAAAAAATTATTCTACAATAAACAAAAAAGAAGCTATAATAAAAGGAGTATAAATTTTTACGAACTGATCAACTGTAATATAAATATATGGGAATTAATAAATGATATAAAAGTGCTAAATCAAGCACATGAATACAATGTTTCAAACAAGAATAGGAAAAATAGAAAATAATAACAGTATTTTGTATTTTATTTTGGAATGGTAGATTAATCATTCCCATCACTTCAAATGAATGTTATACATATATTAACATCATGGAATTACTGACATAAAATCAAGTGGCCGACATTATATGGTGAGAACATTTAAACAGAATATAGAATTAGTCAAAGGCGGTATAAGATGACAAAAACATCTGAGATATACCTAGTGCTGCAGTATATCAATTGAATCCACCATCACAACTCAAGAAAAGGGTACATTTAGAAATAGATTGGCATGAAGGAAACGTAGTAATAAATCAACAAAAATTATCGTACAAAGTGGAAGAAAAGTATGAAAACATGCCGATAAACTACAAACCAGGGATGTGAACCCGGACCCTAAACCCTCATATTTTGGCTGAACCCGAACCCGGAGCCTTTTAAAAAGTGGAGGGTTCAAGGGTTCAGGGTATTATAAAAAAAATTCTAACATAAAAATTGTGGAATCATTTATTATATATTAGCGTTTTTCTTTCGTTTTTCTTCCTGGACTTCATTTCATTTTATTTAGAGATATACCATAAATTATTTTATAGTGTAAGTAATAATATTTTAATTGTGATAATTTATTTGCTCATATTAGGAATACTTTGAGTATTTTGATGTGAAAGTGAAATATTTGGAATTTTTTTTTACTGCATAACTTTGTTTACTTGTTTTATAAAATTTTATTAAGTGATTATTGTGCGATTAAGATTTTTTGAGAATTAAATTTAAATTAATCAAAATTGTAAATATATCATATTATTTTATTTATGCTGCATCCAAAATGTTTTGAAAAAATCTTAAAATTTTCACAAATTAATAACAAAACACTTTGGACACATTTAAGCTTTAAAAAAATTAAAATATTCAAAATGCTTGATATGATTATAAATATTTAATTGTATTTATTATTTAATTTTTTCAAATTTTTATTGTTTTATTTTTTTATGAATTATTTATATGCATAGTATATTTATTTAATTATTAACAAAAAATCGGAAACAATATTACTTTAAATTAAATATTAAATTAAATACAATATATTATATTAATCAGTTAGAATATCATATAATAGAACATTTAAGATATTAGTAATTTATGTAATACTAAATATAAAAATAAAATCATAAATTCAATATTAATTAATGAATAAAATTTAGATATAAATTGTAAGTAATTAGGGGGTATCAGTCATTGAGAATATGAAGCTGAGGTAATTGGATTTTATTATATTGAGGGCTAATCTTTGGCGTAGGTAGTAACCCTCGTTGGGATCTTCGGTCCTAGTTACCTTTCAGTTATTAAGAACCTATTATTTGATAATAGTTATATTTAGATTTTTTATATACTTAATTAATATATACTATGTTGTAAATAATTATATCAATATTTTATAAACAGTTGGGAAAACCAATAATCCTATTTTGAAAGATAATCTTTCCATAAAATATATATAAAAAATTATTATATTTGAGTTAAATAAAATTGTGATAGAAATAATATAATTTTCCAGCATCTTTTAAATTATAATTTTTTATTTTTACCAGATTATAATTTATTAAATTTAGCCTTTACAGTTAAAATTTCTTTTTCATTAGATCATAATTCAAGTTTTGTTTTTTCTTTTTCCTCCCAAATTTTTCTATTTTCTTAGAATATCTAATTTTTAAGTCATTTTTGCACCAAAGGTTGTGCACTCTTATGCTTTCCTTAATTATTTTGACACTAAAATATATTAGTATAAAGGTCTATGGGTAGTACATTTAAAAAAATTAACAGCATTAAGAAAAATTGTACTTACTAATTTTTTATAAAAATTTAAAAATGAATTTGAACACTATTTTATTTTTACATTAAAAATAGATTATGTAATTTTTTTCTTCAAAATTTATTTATATTTTTAAGATTTTGGATGCAGCCTTAATAAAAAAAATATATCTATGTGTTTATACTTTTAAGTTTTAAACAAATTAAATTGTTTTTTTAGTATGAAAGTAAAAGATATTTTGTCAGAGTATTATAATACAACTAAAGGGGATTTTGAGTGCAAAACCTGCCATAAAATGATAAAAGGTTCACACAATACTAACCTGGAAAGACATTTAAAAAGACATCATTCTATAATCTTTGAGGAATATTTAAATAGAAAAACCAAATTTTTGGAAGATGACATTGTTAAAAAGCCTACAGTCAGTATTTTAAAGAAGAATGAAAATAATATTGAAAAATTTTGCTTAAAAAAAAGCATTCATATTCAAATGTGTGAAGAGATATTTATGAATGCTTTAGTTGAACTTGTTACAGTAAATGGAAGACCTTTGAATATTATTGAGGATTCGGGTTTAAAAAAATTATTGACCCTATTAGTAAAGCAATTGGAACATCAATTAATCGCTTTAAAATTAAGGACTTAGTGGTTAATGAATAAAAAATACAAGCAAAAATAATAAATGAAACAAAAAACAAATTAATTTCATTAAAAATTGATTCCGCCCAAAGATTAGGGAGAAATATTCTAGGAATAAATATACAGTATATAAAAGGAGATAATATAATATTAAGAAATTTAGCCATGAAGGAGATTAAGGAGAGTTCAACTTCTGAAAATATAAAAAGAATGATACTAGAAACATTAAATAAAATTTAATATTCCTATTAGAAACGTTTATACAATTACTACAGACAACGGTGCTAATCTCGTAAAATCAATCAAATTATTAAATGAATGTTCACTGGAAGAAATGGATGATATAGATGATGATGATGATGATGATAATTATGAGGAAATAAGTCAAATTGATTTACAGGAAATAATAAAAGATTTTTCCACAAAAATATACTGTATCAGATGTGCAGCCCATACGTTACAATTAACTATTAATGATTCCTTAAAAAATAATCAATTTAAAACTATAATTTATAAAGCAAGGGATGTTGTAAAATATTTAAGAACTCCCACAATTGTAAGAATATTAAAATCGATGAAAAGGCAAATGGCAATATTAGATTGCACAACACGTTGGTCCTCTATGTATGATGCTAGAGCGATTAATAAGTTTGAAAGATTTCTGTAATGATTTTATTATAGGAGCATGTGAAGTCATTTTGTCGGAAGATGATTGGAATCAAATAAAAGACCTTACTAGTGTGTTGGTTCCTTTAAAAATAACTTCATTAAGATTGCAAGCAGAACAGTTATGTTTATCGGATTTTTATAGAATATGGATAAGATGTCGATTAGAGTTAGAAAGATTTACAAATTTTTTTTCATATGAAATATTAGAAAATATGAAAATTAGAGAGCAACAATATTTACAAAATAGTGTTGTATATACTTCAATATATTTAAACCCTCGATATCAAGTTTTATTAAGTATTGAGCAAAAACAAATGGCTATAGACCATCTTGAGGATTTATGGCATACCCAAAACTCTATTATTAACAATATATTGGAGGCTACTACAATATCTACTGATTGTGGCGAGAACAATGATAATGAAAGCAATATTGATGATCTGGAAATTTTACTATTAGATAGAGAGAAAAAAATCAAATTATCGTTAGATAGAAAGGAGCAAAAAATACCTATTGTATCTTTATTAGAAAAGTTCTCCGAAGTAAAGAGAATAAATAAAGATGGAAATATTTTAAAATTCTGGGAAGAAAATTCTTCTATATATCCAGAATTATATACCTTGTCTAGAATCGTCATGGCTGTGCCAGCGACACAAGTACAATAATTTATGTATTATAAAAATGACTCTATTTTAGGTAAGCGTAGAACGAGGATTTTCTTCGTTGAAATATATATTGTCCAATTTACGAGGTAATCTGAAGGAAGATATTTTAGAAGATATCATGATTGTTCGATTGAATAAAATATTTAAAATATAAATTATTTCATTTTGAATTATGAATGTGTATATATTGAAGTATAATAAAAATAAAAAAATGAATGAAAAAAAAGTTTTATTTTGAGTCATTATTTTTATGTTCCCTGAACCCGGACCCGGGTCCTTTTTAAATTTCAGGACCCGAACCTGGACCCTTCTTTTTTGTCAAAGGGTTCACATCCCTGCTACGAACAAGGGAGGAACCAATAGAGTTCAAATCCATTAAAATAAACAAATAAAATTAGGATAAAATAATAGACACAATGCAACCAATTAAACAAGAGAGAATTCAAAGTCCTGAACACCGATATCCAACGAGAGAACGAAAACAAACAAAAAAATCAATCGACGAACTTGAACTTGAGGAAAAATGTTATATATTAAATATATCACATCTAATATATTATAAAAAGTTATTGTATTCTGTTATAAAGGTTATCGTAGTTGTAATAAGATATTATTTGTATATTACAGGGATGTGAACCCTTCGACAAAAAAAAGGGTCCAGGCCCGGGTTTGGGTACAGGAATAAAATTTGAAAAGATCTAGGGTTCGGGTTCAGGGAACATAAAAATAATGACTCAAAATAAGATTTTTTTCATTCATTTATTATTATACTTCAATATATACATATTCATAATTTACAAATGAAAAATTTAAAAATGAAATAATTTATATATTAAATGTTTTATTCAATCGCACAATCATAATATCTTCTAAAATATCATCCTTGAGATTTCCACGTAAATTAGACAATATATATTTTACAGATGAAAATTCACGTATACCCTTACCTAAAATAGATAGTTATCTTTATAAAATTATTGTACTTGTGATGCCGGTCCATGAAGATTCTAGATAAGATATATAATTCTGGATATATTGAAAAAAAATTTTCCCAGAATTTTAAAATATTTATATCCTAATTTATTCTCTTAACTTCTGAGAACTTTACTATAAAAGATGCAATAGGAATTTTTTGATCCTCCTTTCTATCTGATGATAATTTGATTTTTTCTATCTAAAAGTAAAATTTCAAGATAATCAATGTTGCTATCACTATTATTATCACTACAACCAATAGGTATTGTCGTAGCCTCCAATATATTGTAAATAATGGAGTTTTGCTTATGCCATAAATCCTTAAGATGGTCTTTAGCCATATGTTTTTGCTCAATACTTAATAAAACTTGACATCGAGGGTCTAAATATAAAGATGCTCTCATTTCATATTTTCTAATATTTCGTAAAAAAAGGACTGTAAATTTTTCTAAATCTAATTGGCTTTAGTCCATATGCCTTAAAATCAAATAAACATAATTGTTCTGATTGTAATCTTAATGTTGTTATTTTTAAAGGAACTAATACACTAGTAAGATCCTTTATTTGACACCAATCGTCTTTCGCTAAAATGACTTCACATGCTCCTATAATAAAATCATTACAGAAATCTTTCAAACTTAATAATCGTTCTATTATCATACAAATTGAGGACGAACGTGTTATGCATTATCATTTAAATTAAAATATTATTACTTCACTTTAAAAATAATCAACGTATTTCTATAACATAGCATATTAAAAAATTTACATAATAAAATATTATTACCTACACTAATGATACCAATCTCTAAATATAATGGAAGTCCAGGAAGAAAATTGAAAGAAAAACGCGAAGATAAAATAAATGATTCCACAAAAAAAGTTAATAAAATTTAAAAAAATTTATATTATTTTTTAAAAAAATATTTTTATTTTTAAAATTTTTTATGACATCTAGAACCCTTGGACCCTCCACTTTTAAAAAGGGTCCGGGTTCGGGTTGAGCCAAAATACAAGGGTTCAGGGTCCGGGTTCGGGTTCACATCCCTGGTATATTATATAAACTTAAAAGGTCAATTGAATTAAATAATTATATTATCACATAAAGAAGACCATAATAATAAATTCAAGTAACAGAAGTTAAATAGTTCATTTTAAATAGGAAGCTTTTAACAGTGGCAACCTGGGAGAAAAAGACATACTTAAGTGACCTTCATTCATATTTTACGGTATATATATTAAATATTATATATTATTCACGTCGGAGGGCAGAAAAATTTTGTCACTAAGTTCGAATGTGTCCATAGCGAAATTCCTGTATATTTTATCTTCCGACTTCTGACACGCATCATTGACTTGAAGGGATAGACTTCTCTTGAAGTGACTGGAATGTGGCGGGGTGAGTTTGATATCATCTTTTGAATTGTTGGATCCATTTGACTCATTTAAGTTATTAAAGTGGTGAGGTAACATAACGTGGCTGAATGATAGATTATAAGGGGTCGGTTCAGTGATAGAGGGGTTATTATCGTTGTTTGGGGATGTGATAGGTACCGAGTTCTTTAGTATGAATAAAAGTTACATTTATGGCTTATAATTTTAAATAAAAAATATTGATTGTAAATATTAGAAAATTTAATTTCATAGGTTTCTAACTCCCATTTCGTACAAATTGAGATTGTGTTATCTGTATTACATTTTTAAAAACCTAAAATTAATTTTAAATATATGTAATAAAATATAGTTTTATTCTTATATGTTAACCACTTAGCAGAAAGCTAGAGATTTTTTTATACTCTGGTAAAATTGAATTAAGTGGAGTTAGAACTTATAACAATGAAACAATGATATATTTATAAGAAAATTAATTTAAGAGAATAGATGTTTTCGTTAAGTTAGATTCCATTAAAAAAAGTCGAAATAAAATAATTATCCTTTAAGAAATATTAAATTCAAGCATATCATCTCACCTATCACTTTTGGCTTAAATCGAGTGAAATATTAAAACGACGAATCATAGAGCCCTTAATTTTTTTCTATGTTCGATTTGCAAAAAAAACAAACCTTTTTCTTATTATTGTGATGAGGTCGAAAACCCAAGGCAAATGGTTTATCAGCATCGCAAGGAATAGCATTTTTGGCTCCGACGCTAAAATGTAGCTCTACATGCCATCTATCTTCGCTACAAACGTTCTTCAAGTTATTTTATGAAATAAAAAAATTAAAAATAACATAAATGAATATGTTTAAAGTGGTAAACTTAAGATTATTTAAATGATACTTCATGATTATTTTCCTGTGGAATTTTCATGAAATTAAATAATTTTATAACAGCTGATTAATACAGGTAAAAAACTAACCTTTGACAAAATAAATTATAATTTGCTTGGTGAAAAAAATCTAATAGTAATATATTCAAATAATAAAACAATGGTATATGTTCAAATATTATAATCATCCTAAAAAGAGTGAACTTTTATAATTCCTCATTTTATATATTTGTAAAAATAAATAATTCGTCAATTACTTTATTACCATGTTAGTATAATAGGTTGGTAACATTCACCCTTATTAATTTAGAGCGTACTATGGATATTAGACATATGATAAGCATTTTATTATGCTTAATAGGGTATTTGATCTATTTAATATTAAATGAAGTTTTAACCAAATAAAATCTATTTAATTTTACATAATATAAAGTTAAAAATAAATGCAAAATAATTAGGTGATCCTTAATAAATGTTTTAAATGTTAATTAGGTTTTTTTGATGATGGTATATAGCTGATTTAAATTGGTAGATGCATGCTAAAAATTACTTTTTAAAGAAAATATTAGCATCGTCAATATTTGTGAATATATACCAGTGATCGAAATTTATGTAAAACCTCAAAAATCAATTATTCATTGAGCTCTCTCTTATGTTCAAAGCCATTCTCAATAGTGACTAATTCTTTAATGAGAAAGATAAAAAGGAATTTTAGCCTGTTTAATTTTATTAGTGAATTATCTATTATTTTTTTTAATTGTCACATTATACATGGAGTTTAGAGTTCTGTTTTTTAAATATAAACAAATAACTCGTCTAATGTAACTTGATATAAGTATTAATTATAATATCATATTGCATATAAAAAATACTTTTCAAATTTACTAGAAATGGCCCAAAGTGTATATAGATGCATATACAATTTTTTTATGTTACAATTAAGATACATTTTTTTATTATAATCCTGTAAAGTGCAGAGTGCATAGTACCAAAATTGAATGTTAAAACTCAAAATTAGAATTTTGAACCAAGCATTTTTTATTTAGTTTGTTATTTAATTTATATATTATATTTAAGCACATTTTTAGCCAAGAAAATCAATTGGTGTGCTGGAAGTTATGGTAATGTAATACTTTATAAATAATACCTAATATAAGGATTAATTTTTAAATATACTATAATCAATTACCACACACATTTAAAAAAAAATATTCAAAGTTTGATAAGTGTTAAATTTTGTATTCCTACCCATATCCTCTTTGAGGCGTTAAAAAATTTTGATTTTTGTTCTGCAATTTTCTCTCATTTAAAACTAGAAAGTAATTCATTTTTATATTTAAATTTTATGGTATTTGAAACCAAGACAATCAAGTTTGAAAAATTTGCTAATGCTGTGTTGATTGTTTCTTATATATTTTTTTTCATCCGATCACTAATATTAATTATCTAAAAATCTATAATATATAAATATTATTATTATTACCATTTATTATATTTTCAATATTCACTGTGTAAAATATAACTTGTCCTGAATTTGAAAGAAATAAACTCGGATCGGATGAATATTTAATAATTTAATATAAAATAGGATTATAACCAAAAACATTTTAAAAAATTGAATCAAAATGTAAAAATTAAATTAAATAGATACCGATACCGCTAAAATGAATCTAGAGAGTGTATCTATATAAGATACGAATAAAATATTTTTATTATATTGTAACTCTTTAATAGTCAAAATAAATTTTTCCTAAGATGCATATTATATGGAAAATATTACTTTAGTAGGATCTTCGTAGAGCATTATCACAATTTGAGTGATGTAATTCAATTCGGATATGGCTGAAATATACTCCAAGGATCTTTGCCATTGTAAATCATCCGGCTTAAAATTTGTGCATGTTTATAAAACAAAAGGTAAATCAGAGCGAAGTGGAAAGTTACTAAATAAAATGGAATAAAAATTTGATGAAAGTTTATTACGGGACACAATTGGCCTAATCTTAAAATGGTAAGCAAGGAGTGAATATGGCTCTCGCTGGTGAAATAAAGCCTTGTCCTCACGTGTCTGCCAGGGGACATTACGCCATGAGAATAACTGACATCGTTTTTTTTAAATAAAAAAAATTGGTCCCATTTATTCAAAAATATAATTTATTTTTTTCATTATTTCAGCAATCATTTTGTACAACCAAGAAAATGGTAATAATTTTTAATATCGATATTCCTCTTGTAAAAATATTAAAAAAATAAAAAAGTGAGAATAAATAAGAAAAACTTTGCATTCAATAGAGTTATGCTCTCGCCTACACATTCTTGATCAAGTGTAGAAGGCTCGAGTATGCGTTTAAGGTCAGTTCTCATCTTGTTCATTAGAGGGGTACATATGCTTTGAGCTATGACTAGTTTTTCGTAAGCCGTAATTCCGTATTCCTATAATATAAATAAATTAGGAGTGAGGGTTTCATGAGGTATATTGAACTAGTAACTCAAAGACAGCTATACCAATCATTTTTATTTTAAAAAAAATGGGAAAATGTCTATATGGAATTAAATAACTCAAAAATACACTATTTATTCAATTTAAAACTGCATTATGATAAATTATTTTTAATTATGATAGTCGGTGTCAATGTTATAAATAAATAACTATAAACCATTTTGAACATCGTTTTCAATTTAACACTTAGATAAAATGACTAAATCATAGTTAAATTACACCTTGATGGCAAAAAAACTTATTTCAACAATTTTTTAAAATTATAAATTAATAACAATGTAACTAAAAGCAATTTTTAAAAAATTTACTAAATTTAATTAACATAAATTTATTGCCCAAAGTGAATATATAAAAACATATTTTAAATCATAATTAAGCCCAAAAGGTCCATTTAATTGGTGGGACCATTGCCATATTTAACATTTTATAAATGAAACCTGAGGTATAACTATATCCGCCATGGCCTTACTACATAGAAATAGTTCTTCAATCTTGTTAAAATTCAGAGCTTGGGCATTGTGTTGCATGTCATATTTGGCTGAATCATATATATCCGGTATTTTGCTGATATCGAAATTTATATCTTGAGCAGATGCCTTTCCATTATTAGCTTTATTTTTAACGAAAGGGTTTTCCTTGGTGTCTTCATTTTTGCATTTCTCCAAATCTTAGTATTGGATTTTTAATAAATATATCATTACAAAATGTAATTTATATTATTACATCGTGAAATCTCTAATTTGAGCACCAGTAATTTATGTTTAGATAAAAGTTTCACAAAATATAAAAAAAGTAGACATTTTTGCAGGTTAACTAAATTTTATTGATCTTAATAGTTTCATTATCCCTTCCATTTTAATTTTGAAAAATTATAAAAGGTCTCATGAGTTGCGAAAAGCAAAGTTTTTTATTTCAAATAGGTTATATTTTGATTCAAATATATTTATTTTAAATTTTAGCAAAAAGTTAAATTAATTTTTATATTTTCTTCCTTAATGTAAATATTTTTCCCACGAAAATTTAAAACATGTCTTTTATTTTTTTTAAAAACAATGATGGATGTAACAAAATTTTACCAACTAAAAACCTAAAAGTAATATAATTTAATATAAAATATATAACCCACATCTTAGTACCAGAAATTATAATAACAGATTATTCATCTTCACAATCTGATGCACAACGATTGCAAATAAAACTATTGTACAAAATGAAGATTCAAAAAAGATAGATAATTAAAAAATAAGGCCTTCAGGAGGTTAGAAATCATTAGACACTTGCTGAATAGAATTATTTTTAAGACTTCTAAAACTGCAAAGAGCATGCCCGACATGATGGAACCTCAACATCAAACTGCTACAGTGTTTTTGAACCTAGAAGAGCCTATTTTGATTGCCCTTGGAGAAATATTAGAATCTAATAAATTATTAGATTCAATAGGACACCGATTTTTTTTCGCATTGTGATGTATTAATAAATAATTTAATTACAGATCAATTTCATGCTATACTTTTCAAAAAAAATGATATGGATTTTGCTGACATGAATATTATTCTATTACAACTTAGAAAACTAAAAGATAATATATTGACCAATAATTTCAAGAGATTTATGTGAATTTTGAGCAAAAGGGAGATTATATGATTTTGAATTTCGCTTGTCTCGACTTGCATCTAGGAAAATAATCGTTTCAATATTAACGTGGACTCAATTGAGGATTACTATATAATAACCGTTTTTATTCCACTTTTAAATATATTTCTCAAAAGGAACGTGATTCATCAAATGGCTCTATCTAATTTAAAAATACTAATATCTAGAAACCCAACTTAGGATAAATTAAATCTTAATATTGCAATTAAATATTTCGCTCAATTTTATTCAGATTTTAAACTTGATACGAGATAAATTTTAATAAATAATCCTCCAAGAAACGTTATGGAATTATATACTTTAAAATATATTTTAACATTTTTCAAAATATATTACTGTATATTTTGGCAACATTATCCATTAGTAGAAGTATAAATCAGAATACCTTTTATTCATTAAGGAGAATAAAAACCTATCTCAGAAATATGACAACAGAAAATATATTGAATGAACTAGTTTTACTTAATATAGTTAGAGATTTTATTCGAATTACAAAAAAAATTATTGAAAAAATGGCATCATATCAAAAAATAATACATTTCCATTTATGAACGATATTTTGATAACTTTGAATCATTATATAAATGTTTAATTCTATATTATATTGTGATTTACAAACCGGGTTATATATGGCTATAATATTTTCTAACAATATTATATTCGTTCTAAAATATTTTATTTTCCCAATATTTTATTATTTCTATTTGAAATTGTTATTTTGTAAATATGATGTTATAATAAACTTCATATAATGATTCTAATAAATTTTTAATATTCCAAAAAAAACACTTCAAAATTTAAAAAAATTTCCCCCCTCCCCACCCAAAAATTCAGGCTTATTTGATAAGAACTTTGAAAACAATACTCCATAAAAATAAATAAAAATCTCTTTGACAAAGATTTCTAATATAATATTTTTCTATATGTTCTGTTTATATATAATAAAAAATAAATGTACAATAAAAAATGAGAATTTTTTCTTAAAGCTGTTTTTGTTTAATGTATTAAATAATCTAATAAACGTTGTCTTTTGCAATAATTAAGGCAACTATAAAATTATTACATTTGAGTAGCTAATTATTACATTTCAGGTCATGTAAATATTTATGTTTTGGACAGAGAAACTTATTATTATATAACTATTTATATTTAATAGGCCTATTTAAATCAGCGGCCATAATGACGATTTCATTCGCGTTTTATATTTGAAATTACTTTTCTTGGCGCTTTTATCCTTTTTAGTGTCTTTAGAAGTGTCGTTTTTATTGAGCTTGAAATCCTTTTCGAGTTTGGTCCATCTCCTGAACATGAGATCCCATGTTTCGTCGTGATATAAAGGGCATGCATTATCGGAATTGCGGCTTTTCCTATTGGTATTATCGCTAAGGGGGTGGGAAAAGTCTTTGGGGTAAACGAACATATGGTTCTAGTTATATAAAAATAATAATATATCAGAACTTATTATTTAATAATTTATTTTAATGAAGTTCAAATTGTAAAAAAAACTGCTTATAATTTATTATTAATCCATCTCATTTAAATTTTATCAATATTTTTTTACCTTATACTATAACCATATGCTTATATTAACAGTCTATAACTACAACTTAGATATACTTAGAGAAACATACAGTTATTCGTTTTATATAAATAAAAATTATACTATTACAAATCTTTATTTTTGAAGCTCAGTAATCATTTCAAATCATGTGATAAAACTTATATAAGAATAAATTATGTGTTTGATTTATCTTTTCAATCAGGAAAAATGGTCAAATGATAAGCATCCTAACAGCAATCATTATAAACTATATGCTAACGTGATTGTCAAAATTTAGGATTATAATTCTTAGCCTTTCATTTCTAATAATGTCTTAGTTTGATAAACGGCTCTCTCATCTTAATGTATTGGCATATTTAAATTGTTTTCTATCAAAAGTTCTCATTTTAGATTGGATCTTTTTCTCTTCTTTTTACAATCAATATTTACATTAAAATTTACGAAATAAACTCATCAATCTTAAATACCATTATCAAATCGTTTTTTCATAAAATATAAGTAGCTATCGTATTTAACAAGATTAAATAAGAAATAGTAATCGAGATAAAAAAATAATCCACTCAGATTAACAAGAATTATTAAATAATTTTTAAAAAATGAACTAATTATTTGCAAATATATTATACCTTAATATTACATATCAAATCCTTGATCAGTTCATCTAGGTGAATACACATCCTAAAAGGATTTTTGATAAACTTAATTGCTTTTACTAAAGATTTAGAATGTGTTGGAATCAATTCTTCCAAAAGAACAGGTGATTGATTTATATCACAGTCGGTGTTTAGTAACTCGTTGAGTTGACTTTTGACTCTCCTCATAAACTTTTGTTGCAAATGCCTCAAATCGAAACTAGAATTCGTGTTTATATTATTGACGTTAGCTTCAGATTTGTCTGCTGTTTCAATAGAACTGATGGGGTCGTTGATAGTTGGGCTCCAATTTTTTGGTTTTGACGAAGAATTAGATGATTGCCTTTTGGCCTGTTTGGAAGAAAATGTAGCAGTCGATGATGATTCATAATTGTGATCCAGGAGACCATTTATGTCAGCGCTCTTAACCATTTGAACTAGGATGGGCGTTAGTTCGCCTTCTAAAGCTAAAAACCCCTTTTTAAAATTATTGTTTGAATATTTATTAAGTTTAAATATATTAAAGATATGATCTTTCTTTTAATTTAATTATTCAAATTACCTTAGCAAATGCAGCGGCAGTCATTTGCACCCTACCTTCGTCTGAAGCGTAAATCTTGAGATCGTGTCGATAGGTGCTATGGAGTCTGAGCAGACCACATCCTGGGTCATTACTGCTGTTATTACCTGCAATTCATATTTTATATACCCATAATAATGATTAGAATTAGGATCTATCAAGGGAACTATATTAGAGATAAATATAAATAAATAGCCTGATAAAAGATTGATATATTTTTTACACCCATGTTTATAATGATAAAATAAAACATTAAATATAAAATTTAGCCAAAGGGACACCATTTCATATTCTTTTACACTGCTTAATATACCACAATTTGTCTACCCTTAAAAAATGTTTTTTATAAAGCAATATTCTGGAAATAAAAAGTGTGGATAAAAGTTATTTATTACTTCAAATTAAATAACTTTATAACTATTAATATTGTCCTATATAAACGAGTAGATTTAAAAAACATGATAATACTTTACAAAAAACTTTTTAGGAATATATTTCTAAAAAATAAAATGTGCATAGATCTCGATTCAAACAGAAAATAGTCTTAGGAAAATAAATACTCAAAATTTCCTATCGATATCTCATGCGTCGCAAACCCGATCTTTCTTAAAAAACAAAATAAATCCTTACCTATGATCTGTGAGAAAACGAAGGATCTAGTATCAATAATAAGAGGTAAAACCTGCCCTCCCTCCTGGGTACATAGATCTAAAGGCTTTCCCCAAGTCTTCAGCCTGTTGCCTCCCAGTTTGAGTAAGTTCTCCTCCCCATTTGAGTATAAAGAATAAGGAGGGATCTTTTGTATTCGAGCTACTCGTGTTACTCCTACTTGAAGTTAAAATATTTAAGTCAGGGCTTGGATTTAAAGATGATGAGGTTGATTTAATATCTTGAGCTGGCGATTTACTATTCTGATCAACAAGCGGACTTTCGGATGATGAATTATTAAGATGGAAAGGCAAATTGCTTTGAATAGGTTTTAAGGGAATTTGAGAGATGGAAGAACGATTTTTAGGGGGTTCTGTTGATGTGGAAGTAGATGTAGTAGTGCCTTATATATGTGTGTACATAAAATAAAGAAAAGAATTCAAAGACTACCTAAATAATATTTATATTATAAGACCCACAAAATCAATTTTTTTTGGCCCAATTGTGTACAAAGCCTTTTAGTAAAAAATTTTTTAGGTTAAATGAAATTAGGCCATATATTTTTTTATTCTCTATTTTAAAGTTATGCATAAAATTTAAATATTCAGCAATCAATTTGATAATTTAATAGTGTTTATTTATTTTATCTTATTTACTACAAAAAATATAATATGAAATATTTCCTACCTCCTAATTTAAAAAAAATCATTTAATAGTAATATTCAATCAAGAAAAAAAATAAAATATGAAAGAAATATAGCATTCATATTTTTGGGGGCTATGGACTGATTTTATATTTTATTGCTGATGTTACGGCCCACCAGGACTCTAATATATATTAGCAAGCAAGGCCCAGCCCGATCTCCCCGATTCCGAATTTACTTTGGTCTTAGCTGAGCCTAATTTTTGAAAATATTTTATTTTGGGCTATGACAAAAAAAAAATTTCTAATTTCGGGTTGGGCTTATTCGGGACGAGCCTAATGATACTGGCAAATGCAGATCTCTAATTTATATACCATAAAAATAATTTCAAAACATATACTAACAATTTCAATAACACAGATGGTAATAACGAATAAATGGTAATACATGCTTTTAACTTATCTCATACTCATAATTGTGTTTTATCTTTCAATCAATGATAACCTTTAAATTATAATAATTAATTTGATCTAGGAAACTTGCAGAGCTGTGACATTTAGTGCTGAGTTTAGAGCTTCCATAGGGTTGATATTTCAATTGAACCTTCCTATTGATCCCTGAAAAATGGCCGTACATCTCTAAAACTTGTTTGAGTTGCTCAAGTTTAGAAGGGTTTTCCTCTATCATATTAGAATTTGTTTCTTCGGTAAAAATATTTATGTCTTTATTTTTGTCAAGCAAACTGATATTAGTATTGTAATTGTCTTTAATTTTATCGTCACCTTGATTATCTAAACCAGGAATTAAAGGGTTGTTTTGAGTATTAAAATTGTTATAATTGGTTGAAGTATTAAAAGCTTTTGATTGTTGTTTTTTAAATTCCTCTAAAAGGTAGCGGGTTATGTCCAAGATTTCCTTTAGTTGTAGGATTAGTAATTTAAAAAAGATTACCTTTAATTGTAGACTTATAGGATTAATAATTAAAGAGTTTAAACCAGATATTTAGCGATTTTAAATAATTCAACAATAGATATCAGCAAATGTAGATATAGGCCAGTTAATTAAGGTGTGCTATCTTTTACTGTATATGATAAATGTTAAAATGTTGATAAAATGTTCTAACTACTTCCGGTGGAAAATTTGAAGTGAGAACGGTAAATATTATTTTATTTTAATCATATTTATTTACAGATTATATGAACATTATAGTTACTCCTAAGACTTAAATTGTAAATTGTAACATTGCTAATATGACCCTTCCATAATCAAAACCTACTTAATCGGGCATGGGCTTTTATCTGTCCCTTTTACTTCCCATGGGCGTTTAAGTGAGTGGCTTTGCCACTTACGCGCACAGGTAACTGCGGCCTGCCCAAAAATCGTGGATGGTTCTCTTAATTATTTTCCCATTTTTTATCCCAGTTTGATGGGTTTTTTTATAAAAGAACCAAGCGTTGCTCTGTTGTATATATAACTTTTGCTATATGTACGACGTTTAGGGCTAGTGCGCTTAATATCACGTATCACGTAAAATCAATTAAGGGAATTATGATTTATATCCTGTCGATAAATAAAATTATAATAAAAATAAATATTTTTTAAAAATAATGAGCATACTTGCAATTGCTTAGGCTTTTTGAGCTTAAGTTCCCCAGTTTTATACCCATCATATTTAGCGAACAGATCAAAAAATCTATTATGAATTATAAAAATAGGTTAAATTTTACAATATTATAGATAGAGCTATAAAGATAATATATCAATTCACACCTTTTTATTACATAGAACTTGTAAATTTTGAAGAAATAGGAATTTATGATCATTTTCTTTAAAAAAATTTTCCTAATATTTCTTAAAATGTGAATCATTTATTATATTATATGTTAATTAATACTATGCTATAACCATATTATATTAATAAACTTTTGGTGTTTGACTTCCATCTTCATTTTTTGCTTTGGCGTCCTATCAGCATGCCTTATAACGGCTATAACACATCTCAACTCCATCCTAAAATTGATAATATATACATAAAAAAATAAGGGGAGTTACAATTGTAAAAAACGTAATTAAAACATAATGCATTTTTGCTCTTCGTGATTCAAAAATCTACAATACATCTTATTTGATATAAAGTTTTTAATAATATAAATCGAATACCAAATTTATTTTATTTTAAAATTTAATACTATTATCATTTAAGCAGGAAGGGCTTTAGTAATTGAAAGAATGAAAAAAATGTCTGTAGCTAAAAAAATTTGATAGAAGTGTAAATATGTTAGAAATATTAAATATTGCAGTTTTAGTTTAAAGATTAGCAATTAAGATTATTACATTTTTGTTTAAATCGTATAATAAAAGCAATTTTACATTTTCCCATATGTGGTAGGTACAATGGGCGGGTCATCTAGTTGATAGGGTATAGTCCAAGGAATATGCAAAGTTGGCGCCAGTTCTCTCATGATAAAATTCCTAAAAATATTCGAGGTAAAAAATATTATATTTTTTTTATTATAATAAACATTAGAGATGCGCCCAGGTGGACACTTTAAATTTTAATCCATACCATTGGCCAATACTCAAAAATGATAATTAGCCTTAATAAATAAGAAATTAAATTTATTCAACAATGGATATGAATTTAAATTAAAAAAAATAAAAAAGATAAAAAGGAAAGAAAATACTTTTAATCTATATTTTATATTTCATAGATTAAATATAAATGATTAATAAAATAATAAAATGATAATATTGATGAATTATATCTTTTTATTATTATTTTTGGTATTGGGTATAGGTCAATATCATGTTAGTTGGAGTAAAAGGTAGCATTAGTGCATCTCTGGTAAATATAACAAAAAAAATTGGATTCAACAGGTGCTTAACATAATAAGAATCGTGTATAAACAGACCTGCAGCCCAGCTAGGGTTGTATTTTAATTTTATTCTAAAAAATACCCGGGTCGGACCTCATATTTTAAATCGCCATATCAAGCCGAGTAAATGATTTCAGGTCCGCTGTTCCCTAGTCTCCATAATGTTAAATAAAAACGATCCTATTTCAATTAAGGAGTTATAAAAGAATATTAACTGTTGTATTTGCCACGACGAGGCACTATATAAATTATCTCAAAATGTCAGAAATATGAAGATAAAGAGAACACTCTAAATATAATCTAAGCCGAGATATAATAAATAACCCTAGAATCATGGCACAGTCATCGTAATATTTTCGGGAATTTTTAACAAAACTGAAGCCATTCACGTCGCAAACGAAAGATTTACCGTTGGCCCGTAATAAGTCGAATCCACAAACCAATTGCTGAAATTTCAAATTTATAATAAGAAATTTAATTCGTATCATAAGTCTAATGTAATCACTTTGCAAAGAGATCAATAAATACATCATTTAAATCTATCTCTGTTCTCTACAGGGATCAATTATTTTGCTCCTTGCATGGTCACCTTACTAAAATTTGTTTCTAATGTATTTTCATTTTAAATTTATATGAATAAAAATGTATTTATTGTGAGTAGAAGTTACAAAATATTGTATTTTGATAATTAAGAATACATAAATTTAACTAAATTTAATTATGCAAAAAGAACCGTTAGATATTCTATAAATTTGATTTTCGATTATAAAACCAAAATCATATAAATCTGTGAAAGACAAATTCTTAACTTGGAATTCCAATTTATTCCGTCTTTAATCAACATAATGCTTTTTATCCGAAATCGGTGTTAAAAAAATAAGTGAGTTGATTACTAAGAACAGGAAGGTCATGGTACGGTCATTTAACTTGATCAGTTAAGATAAAAAATAAACTCTAATACAGTCAACCCTGCTTAATTTGGGCATCATTGGGCTAAATCTTTCCAGCTTAGTTGCCCAATTTCTCAAGACTCTAAGCAAAAAAACCTTTTAAAATCTGTTATATTCTTTGTTTCGCAAAAAGAGAGATAATGTCAAACCATTTCAAATAATTTTTTTAGTTCATCAAAATCATGAGTAAAATTAAGTTTGGGGCAATGTATTATTTTTTCAACTTTTAATCTATTTCTGAGTCTTTTTTCATACTTAAAATTTTGATTTTACCGGAAATGTATTCCATTATGTTTGGAATAGCTATCCTATGAATTTCCGACAATTTTGACATGAATTTATGAACTTAATATAATTTATATTAATTTTTCCATAGATATTTTATAACAATTATAAATGACTCAAAAGTTAAAGGCAAAATTGTCTATAATTTATAAGATAGATATTCTAAACATGCTGGAATATATTTCCGGTAAAATCAGATTTTTAAGTTTTAAAAAACACGCCCAAAAAATGACTTAAAGTTGAAAAAAAACTTTGTTGAAAAACATAAAACTGTATAATTTATTATAAAATGGTTGTTTACAAAATAAGAATAAAAATATATAATTAATTTGTGAAATAAAATATATGTTATATTTTATGTTTATTTGGTACAATGTTTTATTTGAATATTTTTGGATTTATGAATATTGTGAACAGTTCTCATTCAGCACATTCACTATGAATATAATGATTTAGAAATTTAATAATTAAATTTTTAAATTAACACTACTCGTTCGTTATATTTGTTTTTTTTATTAATTTTATTATTTGACATGAATAGTTTTAAAAAGATGATAAAATTTTATAATATAAATTAACGAATGGCACAAAAAATAGTTTTAAAAAGATGATAAAATTTTATAATATAAATTAACGAGTGGCACAAAAAACAACAAATGCCCACTTTATAAAGGTTTTACGCATATAGATAAAAAATTAAAATCAGTCCACTTTTTAATGTAGACAGTTGTCCAATTTATCAAGGCATTTTCTAATAGTAGTTAATAGGAATTCGACTGAGACTCAAAATTATGAGTTGCCTATATTGACTGTATTATTTATAAAAAATAAAGAAAACCTTAAAAGCTAGGCAAACTTTTCTAGCTATCAACTTCTCTCTTCCATTAAGTATAACCGGATACCTAACCTCTTTGCCTTCCAAATCTCTTTCCACCTTCCCATCTAAAGCAGGAGATTTTCTTGCTTCGGCGTGAGCGTAATCTGGTCCTACCGTGTATACTTTAACGTCTGTTCCATCCGTGGGCATGAATTCTTCGTAAATGTAACAACCTGTCTATCGTATATGTTTGTACAATTGAAATAAAAATTATTTCGAATACTAATGGGAGTAGATTCCCATAAAAATAATTATTCATACAATCTTACAAACTAATTAAAAAGGGGAGAAATAAGTTATTGAGCTGAGTACTGAATAACATGTATTTACAATTTCCTCATAATAATTTTTAAGATATCTATAGCTATTATACTCTATAGCCTCAAAAATAGATGCAATTTTTTGAAGTTAGTAATTAATAGGTTCCACGATATCTTATTATTTGGATATAATTAACTAAGTGTATAATAAAAAAAAATTCCTGTTATATCGCATATAAGTCCTGCTTTATTTGTGGCAAATTACCATTTAAACTCAAATTTTTGAGTTCTATGGCTATTATAACTAAAAGTACAAAAGTGTATGATAATGACGAAGCGTCAAGTTTACTGCTAGGGAAGCATTTGAAAAACATTTTTCATTTTTAAAAGTCAAGCCATACAAAAAATTAAGATTTATAAATAAGTGGAATTTGTTTCTGTTTTTGAGTAAAATGTTGATTGATATTTTAAGCATCGAATTTATCAAATGATTTAATGAATCATCAAATAAGTGGTTGATTCTTCGTGGCGCTAAACTACTTTGAAAAAAAATATAAACATCTGAAGCTCCTTTATCATTTCAAACATATTTTCCCTTTGGAAGGCAAGATCAAGAATATGGAAAATTAGAATTAGAAAATTTCCAACCAGTGAGACACTTATATATTTCGATAGATAAACTCTTTTTACAAGTTTTGTAAAAATATTTTTGACATTCCTTTTTCAATAATTTATTTCTTCATATCAAAACTTCCCGAGCAAAATAATATTTTAAATAAATTTTTCATAAAATAATTGCGATGACATTTTAAATTAATTAATTTTTTTTTAAAAAATTTTTTATTTGCTTCTCCAAAGCATATTTTTTAAATGTAAAATTACACAATACATTCATATGATTTTCTCTTTATTGATTAAAAAAATTAGGGTTGTGAACCCAAATTCAGTTTCAAGATTTCTTATCTTTATTTAGCAAAAATTTTGATAACAGGAACTTAATACAACCGATTTTCTAAAAGAGGTCTGACTGAACCCACACCAGTCTATATTACCCAGAGTTTAATAGGTTTCCCAAAAATCGTTTCTAGTCTGTGGTTTTAAAATATCTAACCAAACAAGTTTAAATCTCTGAACCCGATGTTCACAACCTTGATAAAAATAAACAATTTTTTATTTTCCAATGTTTAACTTAATAAAAAAAAATTACACCAAAAATAATAGTAGAAGCATGATTTTTTTCTCTATTTATTTTAAAAAATAAGCAAATGCATAATTTTTTTAGTAGTAAAAATAATATTTATTTTTTTAAGGTAAAAATAACAGTAATTTTTTAATGTTATAAAAAAATAATATTAATTTTTTTAAACTAAGTCAGATTAGTATTAATATTTTTAACATAGTTTAAAGATTATATTAATTTTATTTAAGAATTTATTAAGAAAAATTTTAAAAGAAGCGATGATTTTGCTTTTGGATGTTTTATCACTGATCTATGAAATTTAACTAGCAGCCTTTGAGAAATAAATCCAATTGCATTCATTGTTTTAATTAAATAATATATATCATAGACCTGCAGAAGTGCCATTTCCATGGCCCAGCCTGGTTTTTTTCAGAAAATTTTTTTGGCCCAGCACGGTTTTTCTATTTGCAGGACCGATTGGGCATGGATTTTTTTTTTTAAATAAATTCAGACCCAGCCCAGATTTTTTAAAAATTTATTCCCTTAATAATGATGATTTAAAATATTTGGTTTTAAAATATAAGGCTCAGCCCAAGTATTCTTTTAACAAAAATTTTCAGGCCTGGCCCAGGTATTTAAAAAAAATTTCAGGCCCAGCACAGGTATATTTACAAAAACTAAAATATAGCTTGGGTACATGGTCCAGGCTGGCCTATAAGTCTCTAATATATATAAAAGGCACAATAAATAAGACCTATATAAATTTTTAGAGATAATTCAAGGAAAGGGCACACTTTTGAATGACTAAAAATCTTAATATGCATTTAAATCTAAATTTCCAGAGGGCAAAAATTTTCAAATAACATTTAAATAATATATAAAAAATTTTTGGATGGGACTTGCCCCTCTCTAGATGTCCCACTTTATGCATTGAATATTATAAAAATAGTGATAAAAATTATATGCCAAAAATATTTTCCATGTATATTACTTTTCGGACAAGACTGACACTTGAATAAACACTAGATCTACTGCCAATTTTTCTAAATAACCTTTGGCTACCTCCTCCAGCAGATACTGGATAATATATGTACACATTATGATCCTCTGCATTTAAGGGTTTTTCCACAAAGGGTTTATTAAAGGTCCTGCCATTTATTTCAATATGATCTTCCCCTTCAATCAAATGTTGCGATGCTATTCAAAATTATAAAATATATTATTATGTAATTTTTTTTACATGAATCAGGATTAGTTCTATCTAGAACAACATATCTTGGCATTTCCAGCCCTTCATTTTCTAATATTCTATAAACTTCTCTTCTATGTTTAGTATAATATATCATTTAAATTATAAATTAAAAACCTATCCATTAATTTATATTGCATTGGAAGATCATTAATTATTAAAGGATTTCTCAGTTTAGAGTATTCAATAGCTTTTTCTAATCTAAATCCTTGAGAATGAAAAGAAATTAAGCAATCTACTATGGGCCAATTTTCAACAGGTTCGTTTAAAATATCATTTTGACTGATAATCTACTTAAAAATTATGAGAAAATGCATCAAAAATATTTATACATATGTTGAAATGTATTCAAATTTATCAAGTCTCTGTAATATTTCATGCATAGGTTTGGATTTTGATTTCTTCTCCATGGCACATACACCAACGATTATTTGCTTGTGAGAATTATTCTATTTATAAAGATTAAATATATTTATATATATATATCAAAATTACATCAAGAGTCATTCTGATATAAATCTTAGGACTTCATTCATTCATTCATTACCAGGAGTTGTAGCGTTCACCAAGTATATTCACTAGTAGTGTTGTTAAACGGCTCTATTTGAGCCGATTTTTAAAAACGGCTAGTTCAATATTTTGGCCAGAAAAATTTTGCCTAAGCCTCGAGACTTCGCTAATAGATGTATAAACCTATGTGATATCTATGACCAAAATCTTCAGTTTTTCATAAACTTTTTCTGGCTTAAATATTGAGTTAGCCGTTTTTAAAAATCGGCTCAAATCGAGCCGTTTAACAACACTATTCACTAGTATATAGACACTATACATGATGTATACCCGTTTTATTATAGTGGACGGTACCACTATGTAGTCAGCTAGCATAGTAAAGAAGAGAGGAGTAAGAAAGAGGGGATCTATTAGTTCCGTTACCGGCAAGATAGTGTTAAGAAATTGTAACCAATATCAATAATAATGTACCTGACGCCTGGTTAGGTATTTAAGAGGTGAAAAAAAAGTAATTCTTATGTTAGGTAAGTATATCCTTGGAAGATAACGTTATGTCTATATAGCGTGTCCTATTCCGGAGGCATCCAACTTCCCTGTAATTGTAATCACAATTTCTGAAACCCATTATCCTAAAGAGCTTACTATCTTTGTCTGATATTTTCCTTCTTTTTACAATTATTTTTGTGATTCTAGAGTCAATAGTGTCCCCATAAATCCTTGTTTGTATTAGGCAAGCGATGCACGGGATCCTCATTATTTACCACATTATTATTATTATAGTGAACCCGTAATCGTTATCATTATTATTCACGGTCTTGAGTTGAGATCATCATTGCCTTCGTCAAAATCGTTTATCCTGTAGGGAAAGGAAAAAGACAGGGAAAGGAGTTATAAAAGGGAAGGGGGGGGGGAGTTTAATAAAATACTAATTATCATCATACTCATCCTATTTCATTCAATCCATAATTCCAATATAACCCGTGCCGATGCATAAATTGTCATTCAACCCGCGAGAAGAGGTTGGAAATAAGACGGTGCGAGAATAGTCCAATACTTCCACGATTTCTGCTCTAGTTTAGACCATATTTAAGCATGTATTGTAGATGTTCTTTTAAATGTTCATTGTTTTTGCTGAGTGCCAAGAAATCTGTGAAAGAAAGATTGATCAAGTCCATGTCCTTCAGACATTTTGCCAGCCAATAGTATTTGGGAGTTCTCTGTCTCCCATAATCTGGGGTCCACTTCATGGACTACAATATCATATTTTCTTGTGAATGTCTTAAGCAATGACCGAATAATTCTAATCGCCTCAGAGGAATGAGTCGATTGATAGGTAGGATGTCGCATGTATTCCAGAGAGTTGGGTTTGAGGTGTTGTATGCGTAGTATGTTTTAGTGATTCTTCTTAGACATTTGTTTTTAAAGGTCTGGGATGTGTTGATATTGCTTTTAGTGTCCTGCCATGTTTCTAATCCGTATGTTAAGATAGGTAGAATTAGGGATTTGAAGAGTTTTATCTTTTGGTTCGTAGATATTTGGTTGTACGACCATAATTTCGCTAGATGATGATATCGGGATCTGGTTTTGTTTGACCTCGACTTAGTATCCAATATAGTGGTGCCTAATAACATTATCCTGGTTCCTAGTTACTTAAAATCTGAAACCGTTTCTACCACATTATCATCAAAGTTAAAGGGGTCTTTATATAGAATTGTATTGGACGCGATTAACTTTGTCTTCGAGTAATTGACTTTTAATCCGTATTCATAGTAATTTTTTACAAACAATGACAGCAAGTTTCTTAATTGGTACTTAGAGTTCGCTAATATGCATACATCATCGGCATAGCATAGAAAATTCAGGTTGTGTATGTTATTATCGCCTTGTTGATTCAGATATCGAGGATTAAGGGCATATTCTTGTTTGAAGGATTTATTCAGAACATCGTTCATTATTACATTAAACTAATAGAAAGCCCGTCAAAAATGACGGGGAATGAGATTTAGATTCATTTTTTACGATAGATGTCATACCAGGTTCAAGCTCACAATATTAGGAAGCATCCAAGATCTTATAATTTTAAAAAAGTTTATCAAGCCCAGCTCAACCCTTGATAATTTGTAAAATATATCCAAGTCAGGTGCAAGCTAATATTAATTTTGAGGTTCCAAGCCCAGTCCTACCCATTATAATTTTGAAAATTTTTTCCCGCCTCGGAGATAGTTAAATTTTTAATATCATCACATGAACGGGAAATATTTGATTTACCAATTAGACTAATATGGAAAAAAAACATGTAAATTCCGTATTAAGGGATACTGGGAAGGCCTGGGCAACCACTTATTAGAGAATCATGACAAATAAAATAAAAATAACCGACTCTTATACTTTTTTGAAATATGATCAATTAAAATTATATTTAAAAAATATGTTGTATATTATATAGGGTTTTTGTATTTTTCAGATAAATTTAATGTATGTCTTGCATTTCTGAAATTATTTGTCAAAGAATTTGATAAGGGATATATATTTTTCTATGTTAAGTAAAAAAAAATGCTGTCTATTTATGCAAATTATTTATATATTTTTTAAGATATTTTTTTTATTGACATATAAATTTAGGATAATTTTTTTAAAAAATAATAAGGATTATTTATCAAGTATTTGATAAAATTAAGAGCAAATCCTTGTTGACATTTTAATATTTGATGGAAAAGCGACAAAATGAATCTGGGCTGTCATCTGGAGAGGAAATAATTAATATATAATTTTATATCATCTAGGGTTGTAGATGAAAGTGATGACGGATTAACAAAGCAGTGTACAAAACACATTACGTCCTGATAAAGATGATATGCCTATGCCTTGGGATAATGGTAAAAGAAGAAAGCAAAACAATATTTCTGTCAATGTCAGCATTGGTATCCCCCTCTAAAATAGAATCATGAAATACAATGTTAACTCAACCATAAAACGGTCGTAGGTATTGTTATAAAGGCCACGACAGAACTACTGCATATATTTCCATTAATAAAGTTGATGAAATTGGCCGTACTGTACATTCAAGTTTGAACATGCAAAACGATATTTCTGTCAATGTCAGCATTGGTATCCCCTTCTAAAATAGAATCATGAACGACAATGTTAACTCAACCATAAAAGGGTGGTAAGTATTGTTTTAAAGGCCACGACAGAACTACTGCATATTTTTCCATTAATAAAGTTGATGAAATTGGCCGTTCTGTACATTCAAGTTCATTCCTCTAAATATTCATGAAAGTTTCTCAGAGAATCTGATAAAGTAATATTTATATTATAGTAAAGTGAATGATAGTACAAAATTGAATGTTTATATTTGTTAAAAAAATAGGCGGAGGCATAGGGATTGTGGTAGTGGTGTTAGTATAATTTGGAGAACTGGATGAAAATAAAATAAACATAGATATAAAACATAAGATAAAAAAATTAAACCTCCAGATGAGTTCATTTCAAGCGTAGTTCTTTATTATTTTATCTACCAGTAACTCTAGAACGGGTAAGGCGTTTGTTTAAACGTCATTATTTTCTTTGCTTATGTTTAATAATAGATCCATTATGTTTTGTAGCAATGTGAGGGATTAGGGTTAGCCTAGACAAATAAAGAAATCAGGCAAAAATATAAATAAACTATTGTTGAAATTAAACAAACATTAAAATAATGTAAAACCGGTAGATGTGGTCAATATTAGATGCATATTTCTAGTAATTGGTATCAAAAAAATTTTTGGGGGACTTATCAAGCCTGTTATGATATTTTAAATAAAAAATATGATGAATGTAATGTTATTAAGATTAAGGTTAATTAATTGTAAGGTAATTAAAAAATAAGATTAAAAAGGGGGGGGGGGAAAGAAGGTATAAATTATTATATTATAAAAATAATTAAAATTAAATTAAAGGAGTTGATAAGGTTTGGCTATCTTCAAAAAAAATTTTTTGGGGACTTATCAAGCCTATTATGATATTCTAAAAGTTAAAAAATAACATGATGAATGTAATGTTATTAAGATTAAGGTTAATTAATTGTTAGGTAATTAAAAAATAAGATTAAAAAGGGGAGGGGGGAAAGAAGGTATAAATTATTATATAATAAAAATAATAAAAATTAAATTAAAGGAATTGATAGGTTTGGCTATTATCAAAAAAAAATTTGGGGGACTTATCAAGCTTATTATGATATTCTAAAAGTTAAAAAATAACATGATGAATGTAATGTTATTAAGATTAAGGTTAATTATTAATAGTAAGGTTATTAAAAAATAAGATTAAAAAAGGGGGGAAAAAAGAAGGTATAAATTATTATATTATAAAAATAATAAAAATTAAATTAAAGGAATTGTAATGGTTTTGAGAAATAGTGGTTAATAGATAATAGAGATAGAAAGAAAAGAATGAGATAATAAAATTTAGTGATAAATAAATTCATTAAGGGAGGGGAAAAAAATAAAAAAATAGTTATTTATAAGGATTGGAGATAATAAATAGATTAGGATAAGAATATTTAAATATTTTAATATACTTGGTTATCTTCTTAATTATTGGTTATGAAAGAAAAATATGAGTATAAAAAATTTTAATGTAAGTACTGACAAAGATTGTGAGTATGTTCAAAATAAATATACAAGTTGATTATCTTGTAGAGATTTCATTAATGTGTAATTGATAATATGAGATGAAAATTGATAAGGTAATCTAAAAAATAAAGAAAGGATTAAGTGAAATAAAAAGTTTCATTCATATTTACAAAGTTGAGGGAATATTGTTTTTATTAATTCAAAGATGATTTTTCAAATCTCTCAATTCATGTTAGATATGTGTATGTCATCAATTCTCAAAATTCCATTCATCTGTTTGTAAAAATAAATAAAGAAAATCAACAAATAAAAAAAATAAAAATAAATAGGTACCGATGACATGACGTGGAAAATTATAATATAGATAACATAGGTGATAGAATGCAACCTTGTTTCAGATGTCCATTGGCCTTAAATGGTTG